GGAGTCGGAATTTTTGAAAAAAAAAATGAAATTTAAAGATGAAGAAAGAGAAGTAATAAATTAATGGGGTGTGAAAACATTCAAAGCTTTACAATACCAGGGGCACTATTTGCTCAGATTTTTTCCCTTTTTTTAACTTCAGGTCATTTCGATGTAATTTATTAACCAAGATCAGGAATTGTAGCCAAAAGAAGCACAACATTTTTATACAGGCAAAAGTACTTTAACTACATTTGTATCTGTCTCAGCAGGACTTTTCCCGTGGCATCTTTGCTCACCAAATTTCCTGATGCCAGGGCTGGCACAGCCCCAGAAGTCTCCTTAGTGGGTTTACTATTGTCCTAACACTGGGCACTATTGAAAAGTTTGAATGAATTATGATGATTTTTTAGCAGGCAGTCTTTTTTTTATTTCTCCTAAATGATGGTGTCATTAAACAAATCATTGCCCACCATCATGTTTTTTAAGTCAACTGAATTCGGATCTATACACAGTTTAACTGTACATGCTCTAGCCCTTATCCAGATGTACTCATCTTTCCAGATTATTCTGGAAGATAAATTGTTCACGGAACAGAGATAAAATCTGCAAGATGTTTAAAAAGCAAAAAAACCCAAAAACACCACAACACCCAAACGTTCCATTCTCCTGTTGCCAAATGTGCTTCTTGGGGACCCAGAATGTAATGGCAGGGTCAGGGATTGCTCTGGGGCCCTGGGGACTGTCCCTGTCACTCTGCTAAACACATGGTTAGAAAAAGCAAAAGGGCTCTGGGGAATAGTCTTGTCATCATCGACAACAGCACAACGTTCGAACGTTCTGCATTTCTCATCGGCACAAGCGGCTTCCCCAGGGCACACAAGACAAGCAGGTTTGGTGGGGCTGAAGCGCCTTGAGTACTACCAGAACCAAATTCAGAGACTTGGAGGTAGGCACTTGGCTCGAAGCTGGCAGGGCCGAGCTGTCTCCCTTCACCCAGGCTTGCCTGTGCCACGGGGTCTTCACTTAGGAGCTCAGTCTGCCCACCTAGAGGCTGAAAATAACAGTGGCTGAAAGTGGGGTGACCTCCCCACCCCACAGCCGGATGGCAGAAAGTCCCCTGAAGCTCTCTGCTAAAAAGGCGCTAGAGGAAAACTCAGACACCACTATTCTTCCTAATAGAAGCTGTTCATAATCAAACTGTTCATTTACAGAGACTCTTAAATCTTTTCGGCGGGGGGGGGGGGGGGGGGGGGGGGGATGGGCTCTAAATTGCAGGCCAGTGACGCTAAACACCTTTAAGCCCTAGGGAGCCCGCAAGCCTTTAAATACCAGATTAAAAACCTGACCCACCCAACAAGGACGTGCATCTAAAATGACCATCCTGACAAAATATCTAGCCCTTTCTGTTAGGCTGGCCCCGGGACACAGAGGCTCCCTAATAGCGCCTCAACACCCCGGCTCTGTCCCCACCAGATAGACACCATGTCACGGGCAGGGAGAGATGCCGCTAACGATGCTGTCAGCTGTACTAATGCAGGCCGAGGGAAGGAGCCTCGGAGCTGGTCTCTTCCCCTGTCTCTTTGGACTGGCTCTTGCTATGCCCCAGTTGTGGCTGGCGAGATGCTGAGCACTTCCTCTGAAAACTTGAATTGACTATGAGAAGTTCTGCTGGTGCTCCGGTCGCCAGGGCCCTTTGTCCTTTTCCAAGAGATCTCCCATCTGCGATCTCATCTTACTTGCATGCTTTCTTACTCCGGCACGAAAGGTAAGTGCCAGGATTCTCTGGTTAAGAGATGAGACGAGGGTCTCCAGGGGCCACAGAGTGAGAAGGAAGGCCCGTGGGGCCCCAGAATGTCTGGTAGAACTGGACTTTAATGCTCATCTTCTGGTTCCAGGTCCAGAGCGATTTCCTTCGGGTCTTTCTCCCACCTGGCCACCACTGAAGGAAGCTCTGATTGGATGGTCCACTAGGATTTTGGTTTCAGAGCAGTGATGCTGCATGCAGCACTGTCCCCAGGCTGGGGTGCAGAAGCAATCAAGACTATGTGACGTGAAAGATACAGGAAAGGGAGTGGGGGATGACACCGAGAAGGTGCTCCTTGGCTCAGTAAGCAGAACAGGAACCTGATTCTGTGTCTGCTGGGCAGAGCCAGCATGGAGGCTTACTCCTCAGACATAATGCAGAAAGGGTGGATTCCATGAAAAGCCAAGGCCAGCTTCCAATCTGAAGAGCCCGCGAGTCTCTCTGGGGTTTCATGGAACCAGACTGGGAACTGTTCAACAGGGAGTGGGCGTGTCGCCCTATTCACTCAGTTTCCAGAGGGAGACGATCTGGTCTGGCTAGGAGTTCAAATGGGATAGCCTGGGCGAAACAGAAGGTAGCACTGCACTGTCCTCCCGTTGTTCATTGATTTGCTCAAGCAGGCCCAGTAACATGGTGAGACTTGTTACTGTGTTTGACATATTGAATACGTCACAGGGAGCTTGCCGGGCTTTGCCGTGTGAGCAAGATTCTCTCAGTAGCTTGCCGGGCTCTCCGAGAGGGGCAAACAGAAGGTATTCTTTTTATTTTATTTACTTATTTATGGCTGGAGCGATAGCACAGCGGGTAGGGCGTTTGCCTCACAAGCGGCCAACATGGCCGACCCGAGTTCGATTCCTCCACCCCTCTCGGAGAGCCCGGCAAGCTACCGAGAGTATTGGATATGCCAGACACAGTAACAACAAAGTCTCCAATGGAGACGTTACTGGGCCCGCTCGAGCAAATCGACGATCAACGGGAGGGCCTTTTATTTTCAAATAAATGATACTTGGTGGTGCACAGGGGCTACTCCTGGCTCTGTGTTGGGGGCCGCTCCTGGCGGTGCATGGGGGACTGTGGTACTGGCAGACAGGGTATGCACTCAGCCCACTGAGTTCTCTCCCAAGCCCTTGAAATGGTCTGATTTTAGAATCCAGTCTCTAAGCTAGTAGAAAAAAAACACTCTTCTTCCTGTATTTTACTTGAGGGCAAAAAGGAGGGGTAAGGAAGGGGTTTATAAAGTACCCTTTATAGATAGATAATGCTTATAAAGCATATGCAAACCCCATCAAAAGTCACTGTTGATTCCAGTATTAAAAGCACACCAACTTCTGTGGAAAGATCTTGGAAGCAGGCTGATGGCATCAAAGCTGCTTCTACTCCTTGAATTTCAAATTCCAACTGGGTGACAATGTTCTACCAGGATCCAAGAAATACAGTTCATTTTCCCCACTCTGGCAAAAAGGCTATTGCTAACTAGGGCGTTCAACACATTAGACTTTTCCAACTTCCACTTGACTGACTGAGTAAATGTATACTTAAACCATCAAGAAAACAATAATTGCAAGGTAACAGCCACTTGCCAAATTCTACCAAAACCTTCAGAGGCTTCATCTGTTGAACATAAAGGTGACAGGTTTCTCAGATTTGTCACTTACCAAATCTCTCAAATTGATGATTTCAGACATTAGGAATTTCAAGAATATAGCTGCAATCTTTGACATCTGTGTTTAATGGATTACAAGTTTTCTTGCTAAGACTTGTCTGAGCGATCTGTTGAACAGTACGTGTGCGGCTCATTTTCAAAATTTTTGAAAGAGAATCTAAATCAGCCAAATGTTGAATTGTTTAAAATCAACTGACAAGAATAAGAGGGGCTTACCAAGATAAATATTCTAATGAGCTATAAATCCTGGAAATGGGATTTTAATTTGATGGGCTACCTCGAGGTAAGCAGCAAGACTGTAGCTGCTAAAATCTCAGTGAATGCTTGACTGCTAGCTAGCACGCATGCCAAGCGATTTACATTTTAGATCTTCTCTACAAGAGAAAGAGCATGTTAAAACAAAGAAGTCGACAAATTTGAAAAGTGAAAAAGAACACTCCGGAACCTAACAAGTCAGATGCTTTCTTTTCCACTTGTCTGCTGTCACTATCTAGAAAAGAAAAAGGATACAACAGAGACATTTGAGAGTGGAGGGTCTTTAAATGTCCACCTAGATGCTGAGAGAATTTGTTGAAAACTGCTTATGAAGGTGGCAGAGAGAATGAGCCCCATCCTATTATTCAATAACCATGTTTGTGATGCATCTGCATAATCTAACCATGCATAAATTAGTATGTGTAATACAACACTTATTTGCATAATAATAGCAAGTTAATAGATGCTTAAAGAGCAGAGACCAACACCACCTTTAAATCAGACAGGCCTCCAGGCAGTTTGGCCTGTACAGACCAAGATGCCAGGAAAACAGTGAGCTTCAAGCAGAGGGAAACAGTCAAACCATTCATTTTTCATCCCTCTGGACATTTCACTTATTTTCCCCCCACACACTGGGGAATCATTTTCAAATCACAAAATAGCTGTATATTTGAAATGCTAGCAGACTTTCCATAGTAAAACTCAAAAAAGAAATGATCAAAATTACAGTCAGCAATTTTCTCATCACAGACTGATTTTTTGTTTGTTTGTTTTGCTATGTTTTTTAAGTGGCTAGGAGAAAGGGCAAATTTTTAAGAATATGTTCAAAATTATACCCCAGAACATTTTTTTTTGGGGGGAGGGAGAGGTCCTTCTATTTGTTTGGCAAAAATAACGACCTTCCCTCGCTCTTTTTGCCCTTCATCTCAATCCTTTCATTCAAATCATTTTAATTGAATCCAAAAGCTCAAATAGTGCAGCCAGACCGGGCTGTGTGACTCCTGCACCCCCTGCCTAAACACAGGGATGGGCCGAGGGGAGGGACAACAGCACCAATGTCACACAAAGGAAGAGCGTGCTGATGGCTTTCACCCTTGCACAAAGAGGGAAAAAGCTGGAGTTTAAAAAAAATCAAAAATCAATGGAGACTTCTAAATGACTCCTTTAAGATATCACTTTTCAATTTAACAGGACAGATTTATTTGTGTGTGGCTCAAACGCTCACAATTGCTCTCTGCACCTTCATACATAGGAATGAATGTCACAGTGGCAAACGGCAGTAATGAACAATCTTACCTGAGGATATGGAAACCTCCCAAGAGCAAGCTGGGAAAGGAAATAATATTTGTCTAGTTATAGATTTGCATGCAGGGCAGACCTCCTTAAGAGAGACAACTACTAAATTTCAGAACTGTATCTGGCGCATATAAAAAGCCCATAGTCTCGACCGTACCAGCTAAATGATTGCTATAATTATATGAGCAGTTGTATTTAGAATGGACTTTTTCAGTGAACAACAGTACAGCCCCAGATAAAGATATTCTAATTGTAACAACCAACACACATCACCCTTCTATCGTTTCTCCTAGGAATGTTCTCCATTCCCTGATACTCTGTACTGACATGTATGTGGGTTTTTTCCAGACAAACATGACTATGGGAGGTGGCTGGCTTTTCCTCCCATTCAAAGGGGAACGCCTTCATTCTTTCTAGTACTCAGCTCTGTAGAATTTTCAGCTACAAGTAGTGAGGAAGGTTACGGGAAATGGCGAGTGGGTCATTTGAAACAGAAAAATGCTGCCATTGTTTTCATCTATTTGTTAGATTTTTTTTTTTTTGCTTTTTTTGGGTCACACCCGGCGACACTCAGGGGTTATTCCTAGCTCATGCACTCAGGAATTACTCCTGGCAGTGCTCAGGGGACCATATGGGATGCTGGGAATCAAACCCAGGTTGGCCGCATGCAAGGCAAACACCCTACCCGCTGTACTATCACTCCAGCCCCTATTTGTTAGATTTTTTAAAACAGTCATTTCCCATCTAATCTTAGAAGAAAAGAGCAACAGATCCTGTGTGTGTGTGTGTGTGTGTGTGTGTGTGTGTGCGTGTTTGTGTGTGTGTGTGGTCACAAGTGAATGGAGTCGTGGGATTGTGAACTTGGAGCTCTAGGTCTAAGTCTGAAGTTGGGAAAGATTACGCCTAGACTTTTTGATGCCGCTTGATCTAGTGAACAGTGCTAAGTATTTCTAGATCAGTCACTTAATTTGGTCTCTAGATTCTTCATCTGTGAAAATCAAATAACTCAATGGAGATGATCAACATGAAGCAGTAAGATCAAATTTACCTAGCATATCATAAATTTTTTTTGGGGGATAGCCCTAAGAAGTACTCCAGGGGGTCCTGAGGACAACACAGTGATCTGAAAGCCAGCTGTCAGGGCCCACCCAGGGCCACCTTGATGGGCCATACTTGGTGCTTAGGGTCCTCCAGGGCTACACCGTGCAATGCTTCGGGACTCTGGGACATTATGGGGGGCTGAACCTGGGTTGCCCCATGCAAGGCAAATGCCCCCCACCCCTTGCCTCATGCTATTTCTCCAGCTTCTCCATAACCACAGTGGTAAGACTTTGAGACTCCATAATGCTGTCAAATCCTCTGGCCTGATGTTCTAATTTGTGACTACATTCCTCATAGAATCAGGGGACTGGGAAGTTGGAATGGATCCAAGAGAACATTGACCCACTTTAGAGATCAGAACTTGAGTTCTCCCACACACAGTCAGTAAGGAGAAGCCAAGGAACTGATTCCAGACCTGTGACTCTACCAATGTACTTTCCACTAATTTTCTAGATCTGGGGAAGTTGTGCGTTTATTTCAATGATATTGGGAACTGCTTGAATGTTTCTGAATGCATCTTCTGAAATAGTACTTCTCTCCTTACTTTTATTTATGACCTTTTGGGCCACACCAGGTTGGGCTCAGGCCTCTCTCCTGGCTCTATTCTTAGGGATCACTCCTGATGGGGTTCAGGGGACCATATGGGATGCTGCAGATTGAACCTGGGTTGGCCATGAGCAAGGCAAGCACCCAACCGGCTGTATTATCACTCCAATTCCCTGGAATTACACTGAGAATCAACTCAAGTAACATAACAGCATCTGTTTAATCTTACGAGGAGTACATCTTATCCTGAATTCAAAATTACATATATTTATTCATCACATGACAACATCAAAAGAGCCACCACTATTTAGATATCTGTCTTTGTCTATTGATTGGGCGACTGACTGATTGTTATGCTTGGACTACCTGGTGAGTTTCATGCCCTTAACTCATTTCTTGTGGACTTAAAAGCCTACTGTGTTTCATTACTATACTATCATCATTATATTTGGAAAATATTACCCTTGGCAACCTATTCAGTGTGTGATTATGAATGGCCCAGTATTTTGTGCTCAGGGATCAGCTACTGGCATTGCTCAGGAGGCCAGATGAGATTCCAGGGATCGAACCAGGGTTGGTCTTGGGTAAGCAAATGCCCTACCACTGTACTATTACTCTGGTCCCTCAATCTAGAACATTTTATCTCATTTTATAGACACTGGGTCATTTACCATTGCACACTGAATAGGTTGCCAGGGTATGGACCAATTCTGCCCATATCTTAGCAGCTAAAGAAACACATCCCACACAGTGACTCATCCTAGGGGCTGGAGATGTAGTTGGTGGGGGAGCACGTGTTTCACACTTTCACACCCCAGGTTCATTCCCCCACATGCTCCCTACCTGCCCCCCAAAACGGCTGGCTAGTGGCAGCTATTATTACTGTTCCCACCCTCCCCTTCAGTTAAAGAACTAAGCAGTAATAAACAGAAGCGAGTTCTGTTTCACAAAGAAGAACGAAGAAAGTGAAAAGTGCAAAAATGCGACTTCTTCCTACAAAGCCTCAGATTCTCAGGTCTTCACCGGGCTTGGTGAGGCAGTGCCCGGAGACCTGGGAACAGCCTCATCCACCTGCTCCTGGCCCCTCCGGACTCACTGCAGGTAGCAAGGACAGAGACACCATCTGTTCCCTCGGACAGACACCACCACGAGCGGGAACAGAGACAAGGCAGGCTGCAGGCCGGGGAGGGGGCCACTCAGTAGATGAGGGGGGTGTCTCCGCTCTGCCTCACTGCTCCTGGGACTGGTTTTACTCTGGGGCTCTGTCCCCAGATCACCTGGACTCTCGGGAGGGCCTGTCCACTTCATCCTGGGGAGCCAGCAGAGTTTCCAAGACATGGTGCAGGCCTGACCCCTGCGGGGTGAGAGTCTGGATGGGGAAGGGATTCCCCCATCTGGGCCCAGAGCAACTCAGCATGCCTCTCCTTTTTATACAACCCCCCCACCCCCCCGCCCCGACACACACACACACACACACACACACACACACCCCAACATGAGGCTGCTCCTGCGGCAGACCTTCACCCACTTCTGTGGTACCTCCAGGCTGGCCCTGAGAGCGGTCATTTCTAAGGCCTGGGCAGGGGGTGCTGCCATGGGCTGTCCCTGTCCTTCCAGGCTTAATGGAGCTGCAGTGTTTATGTTCCGCACTATTTATCTTGTGGCAAAACAGAAGCAAACAGAAAGGCAGGCCCTGAACCTTTTCATCAAGTTCAATTAGGAGAAGGTAGAAAAGGAAAAGGCCCCTGCACAGAGACGGCGGTGTGAGGGATGCGTTCTTCACGGGGCTGTCAAAAATCCAAACGAACGCGGCTCGCTGCCTGACACGGGAGCACATATGCTGAGCGACTGTTTCAGAGACAGACGGACCCCGGGCCATGCTGTATCTTTTACCCCTACTGATCTATTAATCTACTTGCATTTCCCCGTTTTTATTGTCAAGGTATTATAAATTAGGAAACTTACAAAAGAGAGTATGTAATCTTCTCCGAAATGGCCTGCAGATATGTCACTGTACTAAATGTGTTTCAGATTTAATGAAGCTTTAATGTCCTTTTTAATTTTGCCTGTTTCTGTATCACCAGGGGTCGGGCAAGGCAATCAGCACTCAAGAGGGTGGTTTGGTTTAAAACTAGGAAAAAACTCATTTGCTTATGAGTTGCACTGTATTTTCTTAATTAAATTTACTGAGTAAAATGGTTTAAGTTCAGCCAACCAATGACCTTTGTATGTAGATTTAGATTTATAAATAGGTTAACAGTTAAAGTAAAGAAAAAGAAAAAAAAAAGGAATCACAACAAAGCAAACAGATTAGGGCTAAGCCAATAGAAATCTTTACTCTCTTTATCATCTTTACGAAAGAAGCATTTAAATATAGGCAGCTTAAGTCCGGTTGGCTTAAAAAAAAGTATATTGAAAAATGTGGACATACATGAGCACTGGCAATTCATCAAATACTACCCTCGCATCCTTTTTCATTCCCAGGAGGGGGGCGACTCATGTCATAAAAGATATGGAGAAGCTTTATTTATTTTGGGGTGGTGGTGGTGGTGGCTGCAGAGATGGGGGGAGGGAGAAGATTCTAGGAATGCTAAATAAAACGCTGCATTTTAAATTCCACATGCTAAAGATTCAGCAAATTGCTAGCGAGGGTTGTGAGACATTTACGAAGTAAAAGGCAGAAAAACAATGGCCTGAAAAACACGGACCAGGTGGTGATACATTTAAGTCATAGTAAACACCATCATTTCACTGTACACCTAGGCCTTGCCCCTTGCTTCATCTTCTTCAGCAACCTCTTTAGTTAGCGCCATTTGAAAATGGTGGCTTTCAGAATTGAGATAGCAAACTTATGTGGAAGTGTGATCTTAGCAGTCTCAAATAGGTAACCACTGCATGATGAGAACCTTTGTGTTTTAACAACAACAACAACAACAAAATGTGGGTGTGGGGCTGGAGCAATAAGGTAAGGCATTTGCCTTGCAATCCGGGTTCGATCCCCAGCATCCCATTTGGTCTCCTGAGCACCCCCAGGGATAATTCCTGAGTGCAGAGCCAGAAGTAGCCCCTGTGCATGGCTGGGTGTGACCCAGAAAGCAAAAAACAAAAGAAAACAAAAGAAAACAAACAAACAAACAAACAAAAAACAACAACAACCAGGGTGTAAGGGATGTATATATCAAGCAATAAAAAGGGCTCCTGTTGTTAATAAAAATAGTGCCGGAAAGTCCAATGATAAGCAGAAACATATAGAGAGCTAGCAAGCAGAAGGCGGGACACAGATTCAGGATATGCTCCTGGCAGTGACAGTCGGAGTATCAACAACGCAGTTAAGTGGGAGAGTGAAATGCACAGCTATACGAAGTGCACGGTTTTTCTTTAAT